TGAAGCTCACTGAAAGATGGCAAAAGGTTATCAAACAAATCAGGCAATATATCATTGATTGATCTTTGTTCTTTATATAAATAAATGACCTTTGAAAAACATAGACAAAATACATCATGACTTTTCCGACAACCCAGTATTTTTTATTTGTAAATGCTAGGGTTAGAATTTAGTTATAGTTTTTCTTAAGGCTGATGAGCATCAAACTGAATTTAACAATGTAAATATAGATGGGTGGTACCTTACACATCAAAGGACAATAATCATGCTAAAAATTATAGTGCTAATAATCTGTTAGGAAAGAAACTTCTCAGAAAGAAAGAAAGATACAGGTATGTGGAAACTAGCCAAATTAGTTTTAACACACTAGATATTCATGTAACAGCCATAGTGCACTAATGATAAAATCCAGTCTTATTTGGGTTTATGTCCCATATTAAAGTATATATTAGAGAGAAATCTGTTGCTCTGACCAACAACTGTTACTCAGTTTTGCTATTGGTCTTTGTACATTCTGGCACAATCATAAAAATGGCATATTATGTGGAAAGCTACTGACATGGGTGCAACTTTTACCATGTGTTTACCTCCAGTATACCTGCACTGCTTAACATGAAAATTCTTTCACATTTCCCCCTAGACATTTTCATGGTATTGGCCAGACTGGTTACTCTTACCATCCAGAGAAAAATATGAGAATCACTGAAGTCTGCAATAAATATCCGAACTGCTTTTGTTACCTGAAAAAACACACTCATTTGATTTACTGCAAGACAAATCAAACGAAATCTCTAGGTATCCCTCAGATCAGCCATGTGTTGTAAAACAGTCTACTTATCATATTGCAACACTACTATTTTTTGTCGCTCTAGGCATAAAATAAAAACAACAATGCAATTATATTTGACTTACAGTCTTATAATGATCACATTAGTGGGGGTGGATTTGAGGGTTGAAGAGTGACAAATCTGTCTATAAAACTAAATTTAAAGTTCCCTTGGAATCAAGCTATATAGAAAATGTAGCAACTTAAAAACAAGCCCTGACAGAGATTCAGATTTCTTTCCTCTGGTGCTTTCACAATGGAAGAAAAATGGTATTAGTGAAATGTCATTTGAATGCTAATGTCGAGAAAGAGAGAGAAAAAGAGAGAGAGAGAGAGAGAGAGAGAGAGAGAGAGAGAGAGACAGACAGACAGACAGACAGACAGACAGGCAGACAGACACAGGGAAGCTTGCTGAAGAGCATCATTTTTCCAAAGCAGTTATTTATACCAGACTTATACAGACTGACAAAGTACTGTCTCACCTTCATCTCAGGGCTGACAAAAAGTGCAATAAAATTAAAAGATAAAAATAAAACCATCCCTGGATAACTTCCTTACTTTAGAGTCTGTTTAACAATGTGACCTTTTCAATGAGGTGCCATGATCTCCCGATTCAAAGAAATCTCAGACTCCTGATTCCCCAATGCTTCTCTGCTTTAACTTTCTTCTCCAGCATTTATTATGGTCTAACAACCATACACATGACTTTATTCTTTCTCACTAATTTATTAGGAATATGTTTTTTGGTCTCTCTCCTCCCATTAGAAGGTAAACACCACAAGGGCAAGAATATTTGTGTTGCTCAGTGATAAAACCACGTACTGAGGACAGTGCTTGGCAAGGCTGACACTCCACAAAAATCAGCTGAATGAACATAATTGTAATTTATGCCCAGAAATTAAGCTGGAGTATAAATATTTAAGATGAACCAATGGCATAAAAAAACAACTGTGATTCCAATAAAGATCATATTTACCTCTTATATACAAGGATTATAATTTAAAATCCGTCACACACTCATAAATTCAATGACTTTGGGGGCTACACGTGTCTATATAAAACCCGCTAGAGCAGACTAATGCCTACAAGCCTTCAATCAAAGTTCAACAAAAGCTATGGGATTTCCAATAAACAGAGTAACATTTACATTTAGTTTTGAGTTACTTTTCTCTCTGCTTCATGTGGGAGATTTTTTTTCTGCCATGGTTTTATGGGAAAATGATGACAGTGTTATAAATACCTATTCAAACCACCTCTACAAAGCAGTCTTTAGGCAGCATATAAGACTCAGCCCAAAAAAGGGCAGACCAGTACTTTGTGCTAAGCTACAGATGTAAAATACACAGAAAGATTTATTATTAGTTTCCTCTTATGCCTCATTACCAGACAGAACAAGTCACAAATTGTCTGAATACCCACAAGATGAATTTTTGCTCTTCCATTGGCTTCAGTTATAAAAAGTGTTTTATAGTTTTTTAACACCAAAGCTTTCTCCATTCCCTCCCCTGCAAGCACACACACACACACACACACACACACACACACACACACACACACATCATTGGCTTTACCACTTTACTTTTTAAAACGTCAGATTTCACTAAAGATAAAACATGTAAAAAAATGTACTAAATGCCTGGCATTTGTCTTAACATACCTTTTTGGAAAATACTTCTAAATGCAAAAGGAAATAGAACAGAAACTGTCACTAAGATGTTTTAGTGGCTGCAATGTGGCTTTGGAATAGCACCTTGACGAAATGAAGAGAAAAATGAAATAGTTCTGATCAAGCTCAAAGTCCTCCACTGTAGTATTTTTCCATGTTAACAACTTGGCTGGTTTTAATTTCTTAAATATTAAGTCCAAAAACAAAAACCATGCAATAGTGTGGTAAGAAGAGAGAGAGAGAGAAAAATACTACTGTGTACTTCCTTAACAATATTTATCTAACAGTTTCAAGGCAAACACCATTACTCCCAATGGCTTTGAAAACACTGGGAAAAAATACATTAGGCTTGAGGAAGACCATGATGTTTATACTTTTTCCATCTTCCTATCCATGCTGCAGGGGCAAAGAAACTATTTCCTAAGTGTATGACTTTTACAATCATGAAAGGCAAACAGCTAATTCTGGAACAATCCAGGATTTTCAAAAGGTCAAGTCTACTCCTTGAAGCCCTCTTTTAGATGACAAACTGCTAAATAATCTAATTGAATTTAGAAGTATTTTGAACACTGAGGTGCAAAATCGACAGAAGCCTATCCATATTTGATATTTCATGTTTATCTTGTTGGTATTTTTAGTTAATATAGAACAGCTACTTTCTATTAAAACCTTTCTACATTGCCACAAATTGATCTAAGGCTTTGCAAATATCATTTCATTTAACCCTCAGGCAGACCTAGAAAGCAGATGCTCTTACTGTCCTGATGTTTCAGATGAGGAAACCAAAGCCCCGAGAAAATCTGGAATGTGCAGGTGTCACATGGCTGCTGGAGGGCAGAACAGCATTGGAATGCAGTCTGTCTTACCCCAGAGACGCACATCTTACGTCTACACTACCCTGCCTTATGGGATGTAATAGATGGGGATTTCTCCAGGAAATCAATTCTAAACTTCTGATGCTACAAATGTGTCAGACATACAAGCAGAAAGGTTTTCTGAGCAATGAATGAACACATGGAAGAAAGCGAACCACAGGAAACACTTTTGAAGAACAGTTAGATACAATGGCCCTGACTGTCCCTGGATTCACTATGGAATGTCAGGCTCCACAAGAGCCCACAGTGAGGATGAGGATGGGATTAAAAAAATAAAAATTCCATTATACCAGTAATCGCTCCAAAACGGGGAAATAAAGTGTTAGGGGTTAAAGAGTTTCAAATAGTTATTTTTCTTATAGGAATTTCAAAATAAAGGCTGGAAATAATAAATCAGTTAGTCAACACAGAAAAGCCAAATCTGAAATATCAGTGAACAAATCCTGAATGGCGGATTAAGACAAAACCAAAGGTTTTAAAGCCATCATTATAACACATGATGCCAAAACACAAAACAAGTGTGATACGAAAAGCAGAAAAGCAGAATAAATTGCAGCCAGTTTACAATGGCCAACAAAAGAAGGTGATGGCAACTGAATCCATTCACACAGAGCAACAAGGCTTTCCTGGTTTGCACAGCCTGGCACCTCACTATGTTTGCATTATAACTATAACAATAGCTGAAAAGCAAAAAGCACTCCCGAATCAAGCTGGGGCCAGCAGCATCAGCAGCATCTGGGAACTTGTCAGAGATGCAGAATCTCTGGCCTCGTCCCTGGTGATCAGGAACCGCATGATAACAAGATCCTTAGGTGACTCAATGTCTATGAAAGTTTGAGAGGCCCTGGAATAGGGGCTGTGGGCCAATGGGAAGGGGAGGGCTCTACCCTCTGAACACTCTGACACTGCTGCTGTCTGTACCATGAAAAACTACTGAGGAGCAGTCCCTGAAATCTGAAGACAGAGAAGGTAGTAAGATAAAACCCAGAGCCTTTCCTTGGTGCTGGGAAAATTAGCCCAGGTGGGCTGCAGAACATGTCAATAGAATGCAGAAGGGAAGAGACTGGGAAAATCAGCCTAGGATACTTTGGGAATGGTTGGTGAATTTTAAGAAGAGGGAAAATGAAAGAGTAATGACATGTCCGATGAGTGGCCATGTCTGGACAGCACAGTGGGAACAGCAGAGGCAACAAGCCTGCTGACCTGACCCCAGGAGACCCTGAGGGTGGGCGGGGTCTATGTGAACAAGGGATGAGATTTTTTAGCTTGCAAACTTTAACCATGATGCTATTTGAGGATAAATCCTTATTATCTCACTTAACTTCATCAAAATTGCACACAAACGCAAACACTTACCAACCAACACAACAAGTCTATATTTCTCGTTACTTTGTCGCCGATAGGGTGTCACTTCCTCGTATGTGGGTACATCAGCTGTATCATACTGATCACTCTTCTTGCATTCGTACATGGATTTATTTGTTTTCTTATCTTTTCTACTAAGACGGAAACTTCTTCTAAAACCAGCTGAAAATACAAAAAAAAATTTATTTTTAGTAATTAGAAGTAAAAAAAAAAAACCCCCAAAAAACAAAAATAAAAAACTGTCAAAGTTGGATCATATTTTCTTCACATAATATCATGATAAGTGCATTTGGTAAGAAAACAAAAATAGATACTATACAATATCATTAAAATAATTTATATGACAATCACCTAACATTTAATTATATAATTACAATATAAATTTTATTTGGTTCTAAATCATAATGAGTTCTTTTTAGAAATCAATGAGTAAAATCGCTGTTATAAAGCAATATAAAGAAGTCAGATAATTTATCATTCATGGACTGATTGATGAACATGTTTGATAGGAAAAAGTTAAAAGCACTTAACATTTTAAGTATATATAATGAATTCTCTCCTTCATAAATACTGGGATATTTTATATCATATTCTAAGCATAGCCTGACAACATACCTGTGGCAGACAGCATCTATTGTTAAATAGAAAGAAAACTAAATTAGGGAGAGCATAGTGTCAAAAAAGCCTGTGCACGGATCAGGCTGACAGTACCAGACTATCCCTCAAAGCAAGTTATTTAACTTTTATAAGCCTCCACAGGGAGGGTAAAGGGCTGAGCCTCAGGTCCTTTTTCTTCTATGGAAATTCTGGTTTTCTGATTTGAAGCCTACTGAAATCTAGAAATAAGTTTCACAGTCTCAATTGTATACTCTTATAAATAGGTCATATGATCTTTTACTAAGATAACTTTTAAAGTATTTAAATAAATTTCATGTCCACTTAAAGAGTTGTCTCCAGCTCACTGCTATCATTTCACACTTAAAAAACTGGGGCAGGAGTTCCTTTTCTCAGTCAGTTCCCATTTCATTCTGCTTGTGCTTCATGTTGTCGCATCATTCTAGTTTTATTTCTTTTCTAGAACAGTGATATTTACCACGCACATCATTCAAGACTTCAGTAAGATGTGCAGTCAATTCTAAACCTAACCAACCATTATGATCTCTCAAAATCTAGACTTTAAGGGAGAGAAAATAGCCTGCTTATTAAAACATTATACATATTCTATATCAGCTCCACAGTACAAAAGACAATACAAGTACAACGTAAATACATAAAAATATATTCTCTTTAAAAATATTGGTTAAATTTGATACATAGAAAACTTTCTTAAAAATAAATTTACTTTATAACAAAATATAAGAATGTAATAACTAAAAAGTGTGATTTCAGGGAACATAAAGAAAAGAGAATTATTATTACCATTGGATTTAAGAAGTTAATAGGATTTGAAATAAAGGCAACATTAAAAAACAACTATCAATGACTATGGAGTTGTATCACTCACCTTATAGATTCACAATTTAATAAAAAGCAATCAAGATATTAAGAATAGAGTGATAAAAGTTAATCTCATAATATATTCCTGTGGGCTACCAAGAATCATGCTGATTTTTGAGGAAATACTGAAGTTATTTGAGAGAAAACATTCACAAAGGGTTGGAAACAAGGAAGATAATCACTCTCATGCTCTCTTATCAAAGATAAAGAGGAAAAAATGAACAGAGTAACTAATGAAACACATTGGTATTTTACAAAAAACGGTGAGCTCTGAGGGAAGCCAAAGGGGAAATGTGCAATCTGGCCCTAGGATGAAGAAAAGATGTGTGAATCCAAAAATCACACATGTCGACAGCATTCAAACTTCTACATAAAAGGTCAGAGAACACGTTGCATATTATTTTTTATTTCTCTTGTTTTCTAAAATTGTGGGAAGACTCGTAAGAATACGGAAAATCAGTCCCTTCTTTGTATCTCAGTCATCGCAACACCACACCAAAAGTAGCTGAGATGCTTACAGCTCCTCCCGGTGCTTCAGCAGAGTGGTTCCCAGACAGTCATCTCGTCCTAATTTGTGGAAATGAGTTACCCTATCCCAACCCCACCCCAGCTCTGCCACCTGGGGCTGCCGGCCCACACTGGAATCCAGTATACGATGGCTTCTGGTTTAACACAAAAGTGACACATTAGCTGTTCCAACTTTTCCATTCTGGTATTCCATTGTGTTCTAATTTCAGGTTCCCGCAGCTCTTGTCTCATAGAAGGCAATTATAGGATAAGCACGTAGAAATTCCATTATTCCTTGTATGGGGCAGGGGATTTTGTCAAATCACTACAGACTTTTAGTACAGGAATGGATCTAACTAGGACATAAATGCCTCATCCAAAGCAAATAAAGTCCAAAAGTGAAAACCTGAAAAACGTCTGATGCACAAATCACAGTTCAATCCTGAATTTCAGTGACAGAGTTAACCTGATTGGGTCTTTACAATTAACTGAAGTGTTTTCTTTTCATCATAAACTATAAAGCAATCGTGGAGAAAAAAGAGAGGTAATCAGATTTCTAATGTGAGGGTCTACGGACGTCAAAGATGGGGTCACGGTGTGGTAATGTTAGTTGTACGTGCTTGGCACAGAAAAAGTGCTCGGTAAAGTTTACTAAATTGAATGTCAAAAGGCAACAAAAAATCCTATCATTCCTGTTTGATTTCCTTAATGTAAATTTCAACAAAAAAAGCAGGACATTTTGGTATTTTCACAAGAGAAAATCCTAAGAGGAGGACAAAAAGACAGAACACTGCATATATCAAGGCTTCGAGCTGGGAGAACTCCAGAGTCCATCTGGGCCGGTTAAATCCCTTGCTCCCTATCTGGCCGGCAGAGATGTCATTGTCACTGTACTTGCCCATGCACAGTGACACGGTTCTGACCTCATTCACATCCATTTTCCAGGTGGCAACTACCAAGCAAGTGGAATTCCTGCAAGTTATGAGCGTAGGTGCCTTGGCCCAATACACTTGTTTACAAAACAAAGGGAAAAAGGCAGTCAGGTCACCACACCAATGCTATCAGGCAGCAGCATCGCAGGGTGTGAAAACGCAAAGACAGGTAGACAGGTGTGGGTATGGCCCCGCTGACTTACCAGTTACGTGATTTGCCATCTTTTACAAAACTTCTCTAAGGCTCATTTTCTCAGCTTTAAAATGAGCATAATAATAGTACCTACCTCACAGTGTTGTTAGAAATTAAACAATCCCTGTAAACCACTGGCCCAGTACCTGGCATGTGGTAAATACCTATACACCGCAGCTGTAAATTAGTACTTAATTATGTCTCCAACTTATTGAAAGTACCTTGAAGGCAGGAACATGTTATACCTCTCTGTTCCCACAACACACAGTCTAGCAAGAAAGGGAAAAATAAATTAAGGGGCTTATTAATAAGTTTTTAACTGGCAAGTGTTATAAAGAGATAAAATATTAAAATTAAAGCCCAATTTAAATATGTTAAATATTAAAAGTACCCTCTTAAAGTAGTGAGGCCTTTCAAAGACACCTAACAGAAAGATTTAGTGTGTGTGAACTATCCTTTCAGTTTTTTAATCCTCTTTCTAGGGATGTACGTTATTTCTGGTACCATATTTAAATTTAATGAGTATCCTTCCCTTCTGGCTCTCTTAGTTACCATCATTTACTCCCCTGATCCACATATACCTATAGATATTCCATATTTACATTACACAATAACATGCATATATACACATACGCATACACACACATATACATATATACATAAACATTCATACATAAACACAGAGTGGAAAAAACAAAACAAAACAGAAAAGAAACATTCCAAACCAGAGCAAGCAATAAAACAGCCAGAACAGAGGACATGATAAAAACTATGAATTCCAGAGTACTGGCTTATGATTATTTCTCAAACCAAAAATCAGAACAGCCTATCTTCCTAGAATCTGTCCTCCACAGGAAGTCAGAGGTGACAGCACACTTGGCATGCCTTTCAAGGCAGTCCAGGGACTGTAATTTCCAAACTTCAGTAACATGATGAGTGACTGACCTCATACCTTGGTTACATCTAAGCTTAGAGGAGAGTGAATTCGATGTCAGAAAAGGGGTTAATATTACTTGCCTTCGGATCTTATGTTAAAAGGAGATCAAAAAATGTGTACTTAAAATGAAAGTAGGCTGAGGGTTCTTTCAGGTACATGTGAGTAAGTAACCTAGAACCTATTTCATTCCTGTTCATTTTCAGTGCCCAAGTCTTAGCAAGAGCTGGCTTTCAACAAAGAAGGAAGGAAAAGGGAACAGTAAGAACGAGACTTTAACATAAAATATATTTTCCTTATATTTCACATTTTTGTAATTTATAATTGGCTCAACATTTTTATGGACAGGCTTTTTCCAGGGCGCTTACCCACAGCTGCTAGAGATTTGTGTGTTTTAAAGGAACGGCAACTTAATATTATTACAATAGAAAAGTGACTTTAGAATAAGACCGCAGGTGCAGGTCAGCCCCTAATCACAAGGAGACACTTCTTCTCTCATATTTTCCAGTAGAAATAATTTACGATGACGTGTTATCACTTAATTGTATAGCTTCGTTTAAATTTAGTTTTTACTATAGAAGGTGACATTTAAGTTGCTTGTTATCTGCTCCTTATTTTAATAAGACTGCAATAAATCTTCCTGCACATTCCCTTTAGTCCATGTCACTGATGATTTCATTAGGACAAATCGCTAGAACCTAGTAGATCTTACCCAAATGCCTCTCAGCTCGGTTAATAACATTGTACATTTCCACCAGCAGTAAGTACAATTGCCCATATTACCATTCTCTCATAAAAGGGCTTCTAATCGCTTTAAAGCCTTTAGTGATCTGACGAGTGAAAAATTGTATAGCATTTCATTTTTAACTGTTAGTGGAGCTCAACTTTTTTCACGTTAATTACTCATTTGCGTTTCTTATTTTTTCTGTAAATTGTTGCTTAATACATTTTGATCGCTTTTTGATTAGGGTCTTCCTAAATAATACATACACATGTATCTTTTAAGGTCATAGTATTTTGCCCTATTTGTTGCAAAGACATTTTAAGATTTTCAGTTTTCCTTTTTGAAGAAAATTTCAATGTTCATATATTTGAATCT